CTTTGTGAGCAGGATGGTCATGAAGGTATTTTAACCATATTCACTCTCCTTAGGAACAAGCCTGGCTTCAGGCTGCCCAAGCCTTCATCCAAGAGACCTTGTGTCCAGCTGGCAAGGAGCCCAGTGTCCAGTTGACTCAGCTAGTGATTGATTGTGTGAAGACAATCTGGTTGTCCCAGGGAAGGAATCAGGGTTTTACACTGCCCCTCAGCTACAGGTAAGGAGAGGCAGTCAGGGTGAAAAGAGGTTAAATTTGGATTTTAGAAGGTGTCTTTAGTTTATATAGTGCTACTGTAACAGAAATACTATAATTGAGTGAGTTTAATGAACAGAAATTTATTTTCTCACAGTTTAGGAAGTTTGAAATTCAAATTCAGTGTGTTGACTCTCTGAGGAGGCCCTTGCTCCCTCTTTCCTCTGTCTGCTCTGGAGGAAGGTCCTTACCTCTTTCAGCATCTGTTCCTCAATTCCTTGGTGATCTTGATGTGGCGTGACATCTGTCTTTTGCCGTTTCTGCTTATTTAATCTGCTGTTATACATCAAAAGAAATTGATTGGCAATACATCCTACACTAATACCACTACATTAGCATAGCAAAGAAAACATATTGGGATTATAACCATAGTCTTGGGGTTAGGAATCCTGGTGTGCTGCAGTAGGATCAGCACTGGACTGTTAGCCACAGCATGGGTGGGTCAAACCCACTAGCCACTTCTTGGAAACCCTATACAGGATCACTGTGAGTCGGAACCAACTTGATGGCACTTAACAACAACAACAGCAAATGGGGGTTAGGATTTACAATGCGTATTTTGGGGGACACAGTTCAGTCTATAATGTATCAGTAGTTAGAAGAAAGTGGTGTGAACGAGTGAGGGAAATTTTCAAACGGGAGGATGAGATGGTCTAAACACAACCCTTTCTGCCAAACAGTCCCAATCTCCATCAAGCTGCCCTCCTCTTCCTAACTTGATTTACGAATAAAAAATGGGAGAGGAAAAGAAGAGGGGAAGGCAGAAAGAAAATGTGGACAAAAGCTCTCTAAGGGGAGAGACAGTTAATATTATCTTCTTCTTGTGTATTGGCAAACTAAGATCCAGAGAGTTTACATGACTTCACTAAATATAGGTAGTTGTGTTTAAGAGGACCTGAGTCTTAAACTCCACTGCCATTTCCTCAATTCTTCTAGTTGTGGTGGTGTGCTGTGGAGTCGGTTCCAACTCATGGTGAGCCTGTACAGGTTTCCTGAGGCTGTAAATCTTTACGGGAGCAGAAAGCCTCATCTTTCTCCCACAGTACAGCTGGTAGTTTTGAGCTGTGAGGTTAGCAGCCCAGTTTGTAACTACTACGCTGCCAGAGCTCCTTTCAACTCTTCTAGGCAGTGTTTAAAAGTACCACAGAAAAGGATTCCATGGCCATATGAGTTTGAGAGACATTAGATACTATAGCCTTCTCTAGGACAGTCACAAGGCCCATTAACATATGAAAAGTCCTGCAAAGAGAAACCAGCTTATCTCTCATAGAAGTACCCACTATCTTGAATGTGGGGTATATTATTCCCATAAATATCTTGTTCTTTTCATCACATGCATCTGTCCCTAAGCAGTATAGGCTAGAGTTTTACATACCTTTAAATCCACTGTCATGGAGTCAATTCTTACTCTCAGTGACCTCATGGGATCAGTGACCCTATGGGACAGAATAGCACGGCTCCAGAAGGTTCCAAGAGCAGTCAGCCTCATCTTTCTCTATGCTGGTGAGTTTAAACTACTGATCTTTTAATTATACGTTAACACACGACACCAGTAGCACCCCTTTGTGGTAGTGGTGTGCTGTGGAGTTGGTTCATAGCAACCCTGTATAGGGTTTCCGAGCAGCAGCTGGTGACCTTGAACTACTGACCATGCAGTTCAGACAGTGCCACACCAGGCTGTAAATCTTCAAAGGAAGAGAAAGCCTCATCTTTCTCCTGAAGAGCAGTGCTGAC